CCTGGCCACCAGAACAGCTGCCTGAGGAGCCACCCCCAACTCAGCCCCAGGCCATCTCTGTCTCCACCCGCAGGAGCGGCCATGACACTCACCCTCTAGGAGCAGGAGGAAGTGAGTGCTGCTGCAGAGGTAAGGGGGCTTAGGTTAGAATTTTTTGCGCGTCGCTGCGTAGGCACACACATTAAGGTTACGTCTAGACTACAAGCCCCTTTCAAAAGACAGCATCTAGACTACAAGCAGACTTTTCGAAAAAGCGGCTCACTTTTTTGAAAGAGAGTCAAGGTTTTTAGAAATGAACCTTTTATAGAATATATGATAATTAAACTGGTCAGCATTATGTACATATTTCAAGGGTATAAATTTTACATCCTAATATGAAAAATGACATCTGTCCATGTTCTTTTAAAATGTTAGTTGTCATGCCAAGCTCACATTCTGTTTTCACTTATGTTGTGTAAATCTGGAGTAATTCTATGGAGTTCATTCTTGTCTCATTTACATAAGTGGAAATCTGGAATAACTCTGCATGAACTCTAGAGATGCTTTTGATTTTCATAGCCATAAAAAAGAGAAGGATTTGCCCCATGAATTACCAGCAATGTTTGCTCCGTTTCAATAGTATGTGTTGCTTGCTTTCCTTCTCTACATTGTCTTTCTAAAGTGCAGTTCCTTTTATACAATAGCTTGTTGAACCTCTAACACCCAGTGGCGAGGCGCCAAACCAAGCTCTTCTGAGGATTTTAAAGGAAACAGAATTTAAAAAGGTCAAAGTTCTAGGCTCTGGAGCTTTTGGTACTGTTTATAAGGTAAGACCACCATGTTTTTCTCACCCCACACATGCACACAAACAGTGTATGCAATGGAAGCTGAAAACATAGTCATGGGGGGGTTTTTTGAGTTCTTTTCAAATCATCTTTAGCTTGAGCCATGTGTGAGTGAATGCACAAAGTTTTGCATTAGATTGTATGAAAGCCATGCAGCTGAATATGAAATCAATGTGTCTATTAACAAAATACCACTGCCAGAAATGCTTTCTTAGGGATGTAAAAATATTAAGAGAAATCAAAGTATGGCCAACTCAGTCTGCTGTGCTAAGCAGAATTTTGTTCTCTTTTTTTAATCTTCTTTCTTTATCTGTGGATCACATTTATTGGGTGAAAAGAACTACATAGAGTTACAGAAAGGCAATTGGATCCTTTCTGGTAGGGTGTTATGCAGAAAGATTTCCTTTCCCCTCCCCACAGTCTGTATAGAGAGTCTCTCAAAGGCTATGCACACTTATTTTGAAATAACTCATGTTGTTTAAAAATAAGAGTGTGTGCGTCTACAAAGCAAGCCCATTATTTTGAAATAATTTTGAAATAATGAGCTTCTAACTCCGACCTCTGTAAACCCCCATTTCACAAGGAGTAAGGGAAGTTGGAGGAAGTGTTCTTCCTTCGACTTCCTGCTCTGTAGACCACGCCAAAAGCCGAGTTAAGCTACTTCAACTTCAGCTACATAATTAACGTAGCTGAAGATGTGTACCTTAACTCAACTTTAGCCTGCAGTGCAGACGTACCCTAAAAGTTTTCTCAATGAGGAAGCTTCAAGGTTGTACACATTTGGTACTGAATTGTAAAATATAGACTTACTTACTTATATTTTAGTTTAGACATTTGGGAGCAGATTTTCAAATGTGCCTAAGAAATTTAGAAACATAAGTCTAATTATTTTTCAGGAGCACTTGTGCTCCTAAGTCTCTTGGTGTGATTTTGAAGTTTTCCTCTTTTGACCGCTGAAACCCCTCTGCCTAAATGACAGTGAACAAGAAAGCATTCTGACACAAATTTACTTCTCATAGTATATATTATGGATTGGATTATTGTATAAGCTTTGGAGCAGGCTGGCTGAAATTTAGTTTCAGATGAGAAAATCCTGATTCCCATCATTCAACAGCTAATACATTGGAAGTGACACAATAGTGTCACTTTGAAAAGTGAGTTCAGCAAAGACTGTGGGTTGAACCTTCCTAGTCTGGCATACTCAGGACCTCACTGGTCCCAAACCAGAAGTTTGCTGGACTAGGGGAGATCAATGTTGACCTCTACTCCCCGCCCTTTGGGTTCTGCTCCTCCTGTCCCCAGGCACCATGGCTGCACAGCTCCAGTTGCTGGCGCGCTAGGGCACAAGGGTTCTTCTCCGGGGTCTGTGGTTCCATTCTTCCATTCTTCAGCAATACACTTGGCCCTAACCCACCATTTTTTCCCTGTCAGTGCTCTGGGCCGGACCAGGGGTGTTGCCAGACTAGGGAAGTCCAGATTAGAGAGGTTCAACCTGTAGTAATGTCCAATTGTGTCCAACTTGCATGTACAATTGCTGTGACTGGTAGCATTAACTGGATATTGGTGCGCACATATCACCATTTATGCATCTTTTGGGCTCTTTGCACATGCAAATAACTGCACATGCATGTTGTGGAAGATTAGGCCCAAGAGATTGAGATGTATGCCGAGTCCAATAACAGGATTCTGTGCAGCCCTCCAGAGAGAGTGACTGCTTATATACCTCCTTCACTTGCTTGCTTAGCCTCTCTTAACAGTTGCTTGGAATATTTGTCTGGTCTGGAAACATTATAAACATTAAAATATAAAGCATGCATTTGCAGTTTCCTCAATGATAGTAAGTCATCATGCTAAGGACTTGAATAACCTTTCTTCATATTTTATAGGGGCTCTGGATTCCGGAAGGAGAGAAGGTTAAAATTCCTGTTGCTATTAAAGAATTGAGAGAGGCTACCTCCCCAAAAGCCAACAAGGAAATACTCGATGTGAGTTTTCATCTTTATTTGTTATAATTAAATCTTTGCTGGTGATAGTTTTAATAGGAGGGAAATTGTGTGCTCTGAATTCATGTAGCATTGGTGGCTTTTGATTTGCATTCATATCAAATGCACAAGACATCTTTAGCATTTGAAGGACTAGTTTTCATATTCAGAGTTTCATATTGCCAGGTATAGTAAAGCTGGGGTGGAGAAAAGACTAAGATCATTGTATACATGTAAGGAAAACTGGGTAAAGGGTAGGACATTGAAGACCCTGGTTCCAGTGCTCTCGTGGAAGTCAGTGGAGGTTTTACCGTTGACAGAGCTAGACCAAAAGCAGAGTGCTGTTTGAGAACCCTACCTTGGAATGGTACAAGCAATAATGATGTGAAGTTTTAAAATGACAAAGTCCGACTGATTATCCATTAAAACATTCTAACAGTAGTATCTGTTAGACAGTGGAGCAATCTGCCAAGAGGAGGCATGGAAGCCTAAGATGTCTGAAATAAGACCAGTCAAATAGATCTCTGAGTGCTTTCCCAGCTCCTCAGGGCTTTACAGAAATTACAGGTTCTAGCACTAAGCAATATTAACCTATTTGACTAGCAGCAGAATAGTCGATGGTACTTCAAAAAGGAATGGAGAGGACAGTATTTTAGGCTGATAATTCCACTCTGTGCCTCCTGGGAACCCCATGAAAAACAGTGTGCTTTGAGATACGGCAGTCATCATTAAAAGATTAACATTTGTTGACAACTGGTGAATCCTTCACCAAGCCAGCCAAACCCTTTATCCTGCAGTCAAACCCTTTATCTGCGTGGTTGGTCTGTGGATACCATTGCATTCCCTTTATCTCCCCTGGACTCCTCTGTGCATAGGTCATGTACTAATGCACTGCACAGAGAGTTTGATTTGGTGCTAAAGGGCATGTTAAAACAGTGAGTTTAAGGCAGAGACAGTCTTTGTTCTGTGTCTGTCCAGTGTCTAGCTCAGTGGGCTCCTGGTATGTGACTGGGACTCCTAAATATGAGGGTGATACAAATTAGAACAGTAGCAATGATCACTAATCTTCTTTGGGCTCTGACATTTCATGTAGGATTAAATGTTTAGTTACATAGAACTAAATGAACTGGTTTAAAAATATATATATTCTGGCTCATGTGCCATGGAAATTATGAAAAATCATCTGGCCTTGTGGAAAAACATGGAAATTATGAAAAATCATCTGGCCTTGCGGAAAAAAAAAACCAAGGACCACAGAAGCCAGTTGGATTTTATTTGCTTTCTTGAACCTAGCCCATAATTAACAAATGAAAGAAACTCACATGAATTCTACTTCTATTGTGCTTGGACAGGACAGATACTGTGACTCACAGCTGCTAGAGCTGGTCTATGTCTGAACCCCTTCTCAAACCTCAGGCACTATCTAAGGCAGCTGAGAAATGGAGCTACACTGCGCTAGGTTCAGATCAGATACAGGGTACCTCCCACAGCGAACAGGCAGGAAACGGGTGATGGAGTGTCCTTCTGAATCACAGTTTGCCTCTTAGGGGCTGCACAATAATGTACTGCCCCTTGCTCAGAGATCATGTTTTAGATGTATGTATATACTGTAAACCCATAAACCCAGATCCAGGGTTCCTTGAGCTTAGTGAACTTTGCTGTTCGAGGCTAATGTGCATGTGTGCGTGTGCACATGCACACACATACAATTTATTTCCTCCAAGGAAAGTAACATTAAAAGAAAGTGAAGATCACAAAGACCAGAAAAATTAGGAAATGTCAGTATAAAGGTTACTCCTGCAATCTTATTTTGGCCCGTGTGTGGGCATTTAATAGTAAATTTTAGTTACATCAGTGATGCCAAAAAAAATCTGTTAGTCTGTAAAGTGCCACAGAACTCCTTGTTTTTTCAGTGATGCTGATATCTCAGTGGGTCAGGAGCCAAATTACTGATCAACAATAGACAAAAGAGCCACAGTAGTGTGAAAGATGGGAAATCTATATAAACGAAATATTTCCTCTGTCTTTCATGCTATCGTGTTGTGTGTAATTTGCTTTGAAAATAATATATTATTCTCACAGCAAATAAGTTCAGTAACTTACTGCAAGTTGATTACTTAATTTGTTAATAGCATAGTGAAAGTATCCTGATTGGTTAATAGCTTAGATTGTTTAATAATTAAATCACATTGTTTTAATAGCAGGTACTAGAAAGCATCAGAGGGGACACATCAAAAAACCCACTTTTGACTCGAGAGCCACACACAGTCTGAGCATCACAGAATTATATGATCACATGCTATTTGTATGAGCCCTACTAATCCCTGCAGCCCGGGCTGGAGCACACTCAGTCTCTCTGTCGGGCTCGCGTGTGCACAGTCCGCTCAGCACATATATATGTCTGTGAGAGGCCGAGCATGCTTGCTGCAGCTAGACACTTCAGAGTACTTAGCTTATGAACTCTTAACAAGTCTCTATTGAGCATGTGCAGACTGTGATTCCTCAGCAGCTTATAATTTGGCTAATTTGGACACATGTTCACAGGAATGGCAAAAGATATATCCGTGGCACCATGGCAACATCCCTTTCTAATGTCAGGGTCCTGCCTCCAAAATCTAGAGTTTCTTGATGATTATAAGCTTTTTTTTTTTTTTTTTTTTTAAGTATGAGCCAAAAACTTTATTTTTCTCTACCCTCAGTCTCAGAAGTGACTCAACTATTTTAGCTGAAACTTTCAACAGTAACAAAAACAACCTCAAGCTGACACCTGGCCTGGAAAATTTCAGCCTAAATGGTTAAAGTTTGGCAAACCGATAAGCAGCCAAAAACCCGGTTTCACAATGGGGAAGTATTGAGCAACCGTAGCTATCGGCCACCTACAAGAGAGCACTTTTGAATCCTCGTTTCATCCTAGAAAAACAACTTTTCTATTTCACACCTATCTTAGTGTATTGGCCTGACACATCATTATATGCCTATACTATTAAAATGCCCCGCTCCCCAAAAAAGAGGGGGGTACTTTCAGGACCAATATATCAAACAATAATCCCTGCTGATTTTAGGTGTTTTACTAAAAGCTGGTTATCTCTTCACAAACACCATCTATGTTTTTACACAACATAGAGGCAAAACAGGTAGGCACAAACAAAGGATGCAACCATAGTGCTGACCTTCAGGAAAACATTTGGCAAAAGGAAAACCCGCTGATACTCTCCTTATAGAATTTTGTCCAGAGGATGTGAGAAGGCAGGGTTTTCCCACTGTCCTAAACCAATGGAAGTAATAAAGGGTTTGGCCCCTAACTACATGCAACTCAGCAAAAACACAGGCACATAGACCATGTGCCTCCAAACCTGCTGTAAGACAAATACACATACTGCTGCTTTTCCCACTGCCTTGAGGCACAGTTACATGATCCCAAGATGGCAGCCTCCAATCACCTATGAAGGGCAGTTTCGTAGCAGAGAGGGTCTCTGTGTAGAGGAAAGCTAGTGCAGGTGCATATTGTTTTATCTTTCCTAGAGATTTCCCTATATGGTGAGGATGGTGCAAGTCCACCCAGTCTGAACCATGCTCCTCCTCCCTTTTCACACTGGCATGGATCCCTTGACACACAAAGGGTTCTTTGCAGATGCTGAGGTAAATGACACAGCTCCTTTATGGCCAAAGATAAAGCCACAGTTCAGGGAACTGCATGGCCTGTGTGTGTGTGTGTGTGTGTGTGTGTGTGTGTGTGTGTGTGTGTGAGTGAGTGTACTTACAGATCTGTCTGTGTGTTTTAAACATTTATATCTCATGAATACATGTCAATACTTTTAACCTGATTTAATGGAAGAAATAAAAATGTCTTTAAAAACTGTTGTACAGAGATGTAGAGAGAATACAGGCAGTCCCCGGGTTACATGGATCCAACTTACATCAGATCCCTACTTACAAACGGGGTGAGGCAACCCCGCACTAGCTGCTTCCCCCCAGCAGACCAGGGAGATGCAAAGCTAGCACCCCTCCCAGCAGACCAGGGAGACGTGGAGCAGCTTTTCTCAGCAGACACCTTAGCTTGAGAATAAAGGACTGAGGGAAGTGAGGTGTGGGAGAATAAAACTGAGCTCTGGAGAAATGTTTGGCTAGAGTTTCCCCTACAATATGTACCAGTTCCGACTTACATACAAATTCAACTTCAGAACAAACCTACAGTCCCTATCTTGTACGTAACCCGGGGACTGCCTGTAATGTAAACTTGCAAAAGCTGCCTTGGCCTTAAAATTCCTAAATGCATGTTAAGTGCATGAAGGGTTAATTAATAAGCCAAAATGATTGCTTTTGTATTCAGTATCTCAAGCTATTCCCATGGCAGGGCAATAGATGTGTCGCCTGTGTGCACTTATGGAATATCAAAGTACTTTTTTTTTAAGAGCTAGATATCTCTACATGATCTTTCTCCCCCCCCCCCCATTTGTTCCCATTGAAGTGGGACTCCTAGCAAGCAGCTCGTGCCATTTTTAGCCCTGTTTACATTTTAGATGACTTAGTTGATGGAATTCATTCCCCATTTCACAGGAAAAGAAAAGATTCAAAGAGATGGAAGCACAGAGAGAGAGAGAAATAAACAGAGCTTCAAAAAAGATTTTACTAAACTCTCCATGATCACTGATCCCTTGAAGATAGTGGCTAATTAATAACAACTTTTTGTAAGAAGAATGGTTAGGTATTCAGTGTGTAAAAAACAGCATTTGTTTATATAATCCAGTTTTATTCTCCAGCCGTTGGCTTTATTAGGGCAGGGATAATTCAGTAGATTTGTTACCAAATACCAAGCATAGTTGGAGTGGGTCAGAGCGTACCTCAGAGATTTCCAAGATAAATATTGAAACAAAGACTTGCTTTAATTTAGTAAAATATTTAAAGGGACCTGTAACTGCACAATGCTTCCATTGTAAGTTCAATGATTCTTCAAAGAGTCCATGGCCTATTTTACTTTGCAGTATCAGATTTAATAGGCAGCGTTAAATCCTGGAAGAACTCCATATTCCGTGTGGCCCATACACCCACTCCACACATTCAGTTCCCAATTTCCCAGTCTTGAGGCCTGCTCCTTATAGGTTGTGCAGCAGATGGGCAGTGAGAACATCTCTGAGTTTGCAGATTTTTCACTCGGCTAAAATTAATTCAGTATGCATCTGAATCTGAACAGGAAACAGTACAAGAAACAGACTTTCTTTATTGCTGTGGTTGTATGGTTTTTAAGTCCTTTGGGATCAACATAATTGAGCCTCTATTCATATGGAAACATCTTACAGCGTGTGAGGTATCGAGCCATGAGGTTCCTATATAAATTACTCTGAAACCCTGTATAATTTAGTAAAGAATGACATGCTTTTCCTGGAACTTCATTGAGAATTCTATAGCTTTGTTTCAATATTTTGTAGTAGGATGATCATTCTTTATATGGTTCTGTAGAAATCGTTTATGATCCTGCTGCCCAGGAAATCTTTGTAAAGGGCAGCCTGAGTGTGGGTTGTGTGGCAAACAAAACAAACAAAAACAGTTATTCCTCAGAGCAGACCTCTCAACATTGTTATCTCGGTATCTTGTAGTAAATATTATATGCCAACAACAGATGTCATCATTTAGCTGACAATGTCACATAACTGTAGAGTGGACAAAAGAAAATATTACTCATGGATTTTAGATTTTTTTTATGTCAATGCATAAATGTGCTTCTAACACTAGCTCCCTGACAGCCTCACAACAACTTAACATCTGTCAGAAGTCTGTTAGATAATGATTAAACTGCTATCATATTGCATTTCTTTCACCTTTGTAAAGAGTAGAACTTTTTCTATCTCCATGACAGAAGTGTCTTGACTTTGATTGCTTGCTTTGGGCTGCTGTCTTTCAATGGATGATGTTTTGGTGTCTGATGTCTTTCCAGGTGGTGATTTAAATGCTGACCTAAAAGTTCACCACATGGAAGATTTCCCACTTAGTTCTGCCTTAAAGTTCAGTGTCATAAAAAAAATAACTAAAAGCAATATCCTGTAGATCAGGAACAAAAGCAAGTAAAAAGATGATTGCTAAACATTAGACTTTATTTTTCCAGAAGACCATTTTTGAGGGAGCAGCTTAGTAGTTGCAGTTCATAATGGGTGTAAAAAATTACCCTGCAAAAAATGGAAGTCCCTATGGCTACAGCTATACTACACCCCTTCTTCTGCAAAAACTTATGCAAATGAAGCGCCAAGTAGAATATTGCCACACTTCATTTGCATAATTAATTAGGGGCTGTTTTTACGCAAGAGGCTTTTGCACAAAAAGGAGCTGTGTAAATGGCTCCTTTTTGCGCAAAAAACCCCTCTTGTGCAAGAGCCATTCTTCCTGAAAATGAGGCACCTCGCACTTTCCATTGAACTTAAAATTAAGTCTTGTTAGGTTTCCTGTTTTCATGTCTGGAAGTTTGCACTGACCACGCTGCTTGGTATATAAGAACCAGGAAACAGGCTGTCCTGATACCAATTTAAATGCTGCCTCAACATTTGATATTCAGGACCTCTTGGTGCACTGGGAAATATGCATTAGCCCATATGAGACACAAAGCATTTTACAAAAGGTTCAGTAATCAGGAAAGTGCCAGATTTTTTTTTATTTGTTTGTTTGTTTATTTTTTACTGCTGTCTCTTGAATCCTAGTATTTCTGTCACCCATGAAGGACTGTTTCAGGATGTCTTCTCTTTTTCTGACCAGGAGGCTTATGTGATGGCTAGTGTTGACAATCCATATGTGTGCCGCTTGCTGGGAATCTGCCTTACTTCTACTGTCCAGCTTATCACACAACTGATGCCTTATGGCTGCCTCCTTGACTACATCCGAGAGCATAAGGACAACATTGGCTCCCAGTACCTTCTCAACTGGTGTGTGCAGATTGCCAAGGTAAATGAATGGCAGCACAGTCCATTCCAAATGCTGATCATAACTGGAACCAAGAGCTCTGAAAGTATGTAATTTAGTTGTCTCTCTAGGTCTAGGGTATAAAGGCTTTTTCTAGTAAAGTTAACATTTTACATTTGTGTAGTGCTTTTGATTTTCAAACCACTGTGTGAATATTAACTGATCCTCAGAACATTCCTGCACAGTGCAGGGTTATTACCACTGTATCGATTATGAAAATTGCACAGATTGCAAATGAATGACTTGCCCAAAGGCATGCAGTGGATCAGTGGCAGAAGAGGGACTAGAACGTGGTGGTTCTTGGCTGTCTATCCTGTGAAGTTCCAAGCTTCTCCTACAATAATCCATAAATGATTGTTCCAAAACACTGTTTCTGTTCTATGTTACTGGGCACATATGAAGGTAAAATCTCTTGTGTTGGGGATATCACCCTGACTTTGCTGACTGTAGAGGAACGGTGAGCAAGTGCAGAGACTTTCATTACTAAAAACCTCATTTTAGTAGTGAAAATGCTACTGATGCTATTTTGTTATGACCAAAAAACAGTGTCGCTAGGTAAGGGGCGGGTAATAAGCAGCCTGCGGGCCAGACACGGTTCTCCAGAGTTAGCCCTTGGCAAGCTGCTGGATTTTTTTTTTTAACCTGTGTGTCCATGGGTGTAGCCGCACACAGCTCCCATTGGCTGTGGATTACTGTTCCTGGCCAATAGGAGCTGCGGGAAGCAGTTTCCTATCCGCACCACTGTCTGCAATTTTCATTGGCAAGGAATGGCAATCCAACAGGAGATGTGAGTGGCCACACCTGTAGAAGTGCAGATAAAAAAAAAAAGCATCTGGTGATCCACCAGGGTTAACCCTGGTGAATCACATCTGGACTGCTTCTTGCTCACCCCTGGTATACCTAAACCAGTTCCAGTGGGCATGTATCCATATAACAAAACCATGATCACCATTGTCAGGGATGGCATGTTGTCAGGTTCAACACGGAATGAAAGGCAACATGGAGACTAAATGATACTCTCTAGCCCTCAGCAGTAATCCTCTATATTAAGGCTGTGCCACCATGACAGGGCAGTATAGGAGATATTTCACTGCTCCTACCTAGATGCTCCTTTTTCTTTGTATAAATAAAGAAGCTCTTTCTCCTGGCCAGCCATTTTGCACCTCGCACAAGCACAAGATTGCTTAAATTTTTAAAGGTTCCATGATGACAGCCATTTTCAAGATGTCACATTTCAACAACCTAAACAAACTTTGCTTGCATAGACATTTCTACAATTTGGCTGAAAGCATGGTGCTCTGGCATTTCTGTTTAAATGGTATGACATAGTATGCTGCCTCTGCAGCTTTGTGTACACCTTGAAAAACTTCCAGTTAGTGTGGGCAGAACAAAAAAAAAGTCTGGATAAAAACAGGAAGGACTACCCACATTAGCAGAAGGAAAAACAACAGCATGGAGATTTCCTGTGCTGATGAAGAGTACCAAGATCATCCATAATGGCTTTCGAACCAGTAGTAGCTTGCATCTGCTGTTAATACTTCATAGTGAGTCATTTACAGTACTGAGTGTCTCATCACCTATCCATTTGTCATGCATTTGTATATTCTTAACCAAATTATTCTAAAGAACATTGAGAAAATAACTGGAGTCAAAGTTAATATAAACTTTGTGCATAGTAGAGCAAGTCAACATTTCAGGGTAGTATAAGTATGAACTAGGATGGCACAGCACAAGCAATTATATTTTTACTAAAAATTAAAGTAAACTTGTTTATAAGGAAAATCATTAACCAACAGAATTTATTGGCTCATTGTCACAATTAATTGATGGCATATGCCAAGTCATGATATTAGTCAGTCCTGAGATGTTCTTTAAATAGTTATCTTCATAAATTATTCTGTCCCGTGTAATTCAGATTTTCAGATCTGATTAAATGACTAAGTAATTACAACAAAACTACTGTAGCTCAGTCCAAAAGAAGAAAATGATGAGAGGCAAAACAGGTCTTATTTTGAGGTAGCTCTTAGTAATTTTGTGGGAATGTAAGGGAGCTTTTTCCTTTCTTTATTAAAATTTCTACAAAAGAAATAGAAGACTTTGTCCTGGGAGGACAATAGCCGTTGAATGTCTGGGGGGGAGGGGGAGAGAGGGAAACAGAAACAGAGCTTGAGAAGCATACAACCCTTCCATTTTCTTTTTCTAAATCCTTGTATTTCAGCGGTTGCTACCTGTACCCATTATTAAGATTGTAGAATGGTTTTTATTTTAACTTTCCATTCTCAATCACTGAAGCATCCCCATTGTGGACTAGGTCTATGTTTGGGCCAGTTCAATGAGATTTTTGGAAAGTTGGAGCAAAATCCCTTTAGCCATTTTAAGTTGCAGGAGGATGAAAGACAGTTGTCTTCGTTTTAAAATATCATTGCAACATGGATCATTAGGAGGAGGTTGGTGGGATGGGGGGGAGGGAAGGAGAGAGAGGATTTGAGCAATAGATGTAGTTGCTGTTATCTTTCTTATGGACACTAATAGTCTTTAAGATGCTCAGGTCCCTATAACACTCTGGCTGTATTACATTCATATCTGTAATATCTATTTTAAAATTAACCAGAACATATTGGTGCACTTATCTCTTGAGATCTTATACACATTTCAATTTCACCTGACTGTGGTTTACTTTTGATGAACGTGCTGAAGACTTCATGAACTACACAGCTCCTTTTTCCTCTTAAGTGTTTACTGCACTTAATAAAGTATATAAACTTTAGTCCATGTATCACCCAAACTGCCCCTGTTTCTAATCTGCTTAATTTTAAGCTGATTTTGGCACCTTCCTGATTTTGCCACTTCTGGAGATTTTATTTTCTCACTGTATTTCCAATCTTCCCCAACATTAATTTCTCAGGTGACAAAATTGATCTTAGAATTGTGACATCTCATTAGTTACATAGTTCTGCACATCTGAACTGTTATCTTTCACAATTGTTCACTTCTGTTTAATTTTCACACCCTTTCACCCTCCAATTCAGAGTAATTCCCTCCTTCACAGATACTAACTGATCTTCTACCAGAGTCTTTTGTGTGTGTTGTTATTAAATGCTCTTCTTAAAATCAACATAAATAAAGCTTACAGTTTCTCCTATCAACACTTTTTTTTGTTGCTACATCCACAAATCTTGTCTAAAAATTGGACATTATCTACATCTTTTAAAACCCACACTGTTGTTTTATTCTATAAATAATAGCATATCTATTCATCTTTCTTAACTAACAGACTCTCTAATGGACTCTTGTAAAGTTTATTTTTGTTTCTCTTTTTGTGCCTTAGAGTTAATTTTTAATATATTTTATGGCTAACTTATTTCCATAGTGTACAGAATGAGTAGCTTTCAGATAAAAGGCTATGGGTGACTGGGTTTCTCTGGCCCAGTCCTGTGCTGTCGCAGTGAATTGGTATTTATCAAAACCAAGTTAATAGAAGAATTATCTTCTTACAGATTATATCAAATGATTTTTTCTAATGTAGGCTGCTTTTTCAATAGCTTAAGGTGGTTGGTTTGTTTGTTTGTTTCAAAAGCTCAGTTCATTAAAGTTAAATTAAATTATTTTGCATACTGGCATTCTGCCAAATTGCTGGGGTGGTGTATTTTGGCAGCATTAACCACCCATCATACACTGAGGAAGTTTTGCTTAAAAACATCAGTGTAAGATTTGAGGGTGGTCTAGCTTAATGGTGGAGGAAGAATGGGAGTGGGAGCTTGAGAGAAAATGATTTCCTGGTGTTTTGTCATCACATTAATATGATCCTTTTTGTGTTTTGTTTGTAGACTGGAAGTGTTTTCTGTATTAATGGTTCAAAAAACAACAATAGTGAATGACTGTAGTTCTTAAAAAGGATCTTGAAAGAAACTTAGCAGCCTGAATATGTGTCTCTTTTTAATGCACTTCGTGCACAAAGAGGCAAATGGGGAAGTTCTGGGGTCAGAAATAGATGTTAGGTTCATGGCATAATATAAGTAAATCAGTGCAATTAACTTTTTTATCTGCTTAAAAGAGCTTTACAATCAATATCAATATTCCATAAGAGGAATGGAATAAAAGGAGCATAGAGGTGGAATGTCAAGAGTTACCTAGTCACAAAGAGTTACTGGAACTGTTTCAAGAGGAGCCTTAAAAAGGAGTGTGTCACTGAACTCAGCCATAAACATATAATTTTTGTTTGGTGGTTTTCCATCATCATGGTGACAGTCTGCCTGAGTATTACCAACTGCAAAATGGTGTCTGCAAGGATGAAGCAGAGATTCAACTGCTTGGTGGTGTTATTTTTAATTGCTAAACTCTTCTTCCAGTTCAATGTATTTACAGTGCATGTGAAGTTAAGCTGTCAATATATCAACATGTATGTTAATGGGGTGGCCTAACTCTACTCTGAATCACACTGAGGTCAGTTGGATTGCACAGAGCAGCATTTGACCCACAGTTAACATCCAATACGTAGATTTCTTGGGCTTAATCTCAGTGGAATGCATTGACCCAGCTTCAGATCTGATCATTTATCCTCCCCTCTCCTTGACAGAATGAGTGTGGGTGTTTGAGAGGTATGCCAATTGCATGTCATACCTCTATTGCAGGGAATGAGCTACTTGGAAGAACGCCGCTTGGTCCACCGTGATCTGGCTGCCAGAAATGTCCTTGTGAAGACTCCTCAACATGTGAAGATCACTGACTTTGGACTGGCAAAACTGCTTGGTGCTGAGGAAAAAGAGTACCATGCAGAAGGTGGCAAAGTAAGATATATCAGAGAACCATCTTTGTGTTATTGGAGGCAGATATTTGCACTTGAATATCACCCTTAATTTTTTAAAAAGAGAGAAATGTAGTGGGATTTGCAAAAGTGTTCATCCGTGGCTGAAGTCTGTTCCCACTGTAGCCAGTGGAAGTCCATAGATGTTAATGCAAGCAGAGTTAGCCTCATGTAACTTCAGTGAGAACAGAGGTGGGCAGATGATGAGCCCTTTCAAAAATCTGCAGGAATGATGTCTGGGAAAATCCAAGATTAATTTTTAAAAAGGGCAAGTGTGAATTCTGTCATGTAGACAACACCAAATACTATGTAGTTTACGAACAGAAAGGGAATACTATGTTTATATATGAAGAAGGGCCTGTCAGATTTTCCTTCAACATCCCTGATTAAGGGAATGTGCTCCAAGAGAAGCTGCTTGTGAATATTGCAGAGAGCATAAATAGAAGCCATCTGATCTCAGATCAGTCTTCGCTGCATAGCCTGGGATTGGACTTGTGCCCTGATCTAATATGAGATGTTAAAACAAAAACAAAAAAAAGCTCATAAAAGCTTAGCTGTTAAGAAGCAACCGAGTTATCAGTGATATTTCTGCTAAAAAGCAAAATGTTATCCAAGTTCCCAGACTCAGAGTGACAAATCAAAACAATGATCATTGATCCCTGCAAATTTCAAACTGCTTGCTGTACATCTTGGATTCTCTGCCGACAGTCAAATTGACTGATGATAATACTGTTGTACTAATAGCATTACTCCTAGATTTGAAGTAGGTGTTTTACCGCTTAACTGAATCTTAATAGGTTCCTATTAAATGGATGGCTTTGGAGTCCATTTTACACCGGATCTACACGCATCAGAGTGATGTCTGGAGTTATGGTGAGTCTAAAAATGATAATGATTTTAGATGGCTGAGAATAATTGTAGGATTTGGTAGGGACACTACACAGCCTACTCCTCCCTCCCAGAAATCCAGTCATCTTTTCATGATATTTACAACAGGGTCTTAATACCAAAATGAAGGAGAGAATAAATATCAATGATGGGCCAAATCCTGACCTTCCTAATGAAGCAAAATTTCAGTTGATTTTTGAGTGTGGAACAGGCCTGCCAACAGCAGTTCTGGGCCCCCCATACGTACAAGCTGCACTCTTGCACAGTCTGCCTGACATTGGGTGGTGCTGCACTTGTGCTGGCTGGTTCCCAGCAAGCTGCCAGCTGTGCTGTTGGGTGTGCTTTTCCAGCATTGCCAGGGCTTCCACATGCCTGCCCAGTAGGGTTGCCAACTGTCTAACTGTGCAAAACCCCCAAACCCTTGCCCCATCCCTTCCCTAAGGCAATGCCCCATGCTCTGCCCACCCTCATTCACTTTCATAAGGCTGGGGTAAGGTATTGGGGTGCGAGAGGACATGCAGGATGCAGGCTCTGGGTTGTGTTGTGGAAGGGGGTGAGTAGGCAGGCTCTGAAGGGGAGTTGTGGAGCAGACTCTGGGGCTGAGCCAGGAGGTTAGGATTCAGAAGGGGGTCAGGGAGTTTGTGCTCTCTGAGGGCAGCTCCCAAATGTGACTGGGACATTGCTCTGGCAATGGCTCCTATGCCGGGTGGAGGGGTTGGGGATCTTTGCATACTGGGCTGAATTTTGAAGCCAATGGGAGCTGCAGAGTCAGGGTGGGGGGCAGCCCATGGAGATCCTTCCCCAGTGGCTGAGAGGATGGTGCTGGCTGCTTACGGTAGTGGTGCAGAGTGAGGGCAAGCAGGAAGCCTGCCTTATCCCTACTGCACTGTGGCCAAGGACCCCTGGGTCCTTTTAAAGCTCCTGGATCCCTGGGCAGTTGCCACTTTTGCTTCCATATCCCCTGGCAAGCCTGGTGGGGAATGGGATTTTGTTAGTATATGCTTATTATTGTCCCTGAAAGAGCCACACCTTGTTTTATTAATGCACATATGCATACACATATTTTGGGGGACTTCGGAGGTCCATGTTCTTAGGAGAAGTGTCAAGGCTGATTCCCCACTCTGGCATGATGAATGCAGAAGTGGGGGCCTGCAAAAGTACCCCAAAATCATATCTTTCCAGGCTTAGGTATAAAGCTTCCCCCCAAAATCTTAAAAACCTAGAATTTGGGGATAAAAATCTGCTGCCACCACCCAAGTAATGGTAAGAAAACCAGGGAAGAAATCACTTGGGAAATCTCAGCCCTAAAATAAAACCAGGACATACAAATTAATCAGTACCAGGTTAATAAAAAAGAAAGAACTTTTATTATCACCATAATACTCCTGTTACAAGCATAATGACTAGATGGAAAAGTCACCAATTAATATACAGCCGGTCCCCGCCTTATGAACGAGTTACGTACCAAGCACTAGGTCATAACGCGATCTGTTCGTAAGTCAGATTACATTCACTTACGTACGGCCGTGCTGTTCATGTGTGCGGATTTTGTTCCTAAGTCGGGGACTCGCTGTATAGGAAGTTGGTCGTAAATACAAATGGTCATAAGTTGATGTGTTCGTAACTCGGGGACCGGCTGTACTGATAGGGGACTCCCATGGGCCAAAAACTTAGTTACAAGGGAGAAGAAAACCCATTTTTAAATGCACAGACATCAGCTTCCCATTCCCAAACCATAAAACAATAACACCTAATGGATTTATCTAAATGTTACCTTATTTACAGATAGTGAAGAGTCTTTTCTTGGAGAGAGACATGTTATCTGTCCTCCTCAGTATCTGGAGAGAGACTGAACAGAGACAAAGGAGGGAAAACCCAAAAATTCCTTTGTTTCAGTTTGGAATTCCTACCTGCATTTCTATTGGCTAACTGCTACCTGGCTAGGTACAGTTAACCCCTTAGTCCCCAGGCTGCTGGCTAACCTTCATGGTCATGACAAGAAGTTGTGCAGGTATAATTCCCAAAGTGCACTGTGTTAAAAATAACCAACCCCCCTCTACAAAGTAACATCATAATGGGACGTCAGCATAGCTAAGCAAAAACCATTGTGGCAGATTGGCTCAGGGTGTAATTTGGGCCAGGTGATGAGCCAATGTCAATCAGTGTACCTGTTATCTTCAGAAGAGCTTGATTTAAATCAACTAACAGTGGCCAGAAATTATCTTCCTGAGTCCATGAGTGAATAAGTGACACAGTGAATACGAGTTCACCCTATTCCATAGGAAACAAACTTTAAAAGCAGATAGACTTTTAGCCACTGAACTAAAACACACAGACACAACTATAATTGAATAGGTAAACTATTGGTTTTTAAAATTAGCAATTTTAAAGTAGGCTGAATTTTGGACTTGAATGCCCATTACATTGGCCCATAAAGTCAGGTTGTTAGGACACCAATATCCTTTATGTAGAATATATGCTAATTCTTCTTTTCTGAGCTCATATCTAAAAATTCATTGTATATGTTTCCTGGAATAAGCCAACCTCTAATTTGGGAGCAGGTAATTTCATACCTGTTTTTGCATGGTCTCTTGCACCTTTCTGTGAAGTGCTTAGAGAGAGACTAGAAAGACCTTGGATCTGATCAAATATGGTCATTCCTATGTCCCTGTTAGTTCACTGAAATACATTTTCTTCATGCCTATAATGTTATTTTAGGGCCCATATAAATGGAGAGCATGATGTAAGAGAGCCAGTATGGAATAGGTGGTATGCTGAAAGAAAATATCTTGATGCAGTACATTTAGAAAGCCTTCAAAGAGAGAAGTTGTTATTTTACATCCAGAGATTATTTAAAACATTAACAAAACTTTTATTTAAAAAAACCAAACCCAGCATTGTGGTTTGGAATCAGTAATTAGCAATCTAGTATCTTTGTGTTGTGAGGATGTGAAGTCATGAAGTAAAGGTGAAATTTGGGATTTTACATTGTCAAAAAATATAACCTAAGTAATTATTATGTTTTGTTAACTTGGACCTCATTAAAACAGCTGCAACTGTGAGATGGATGGTTTTCTTCTTCCATGAACAGTTTTAACAAGTGAATAAATAAATTATTGAACCTTTAGTGAGCCCTAGCAGTGCTAAAACAAACGTTAATGTCTCCACTCTGTATTTTAGACATACTATTCCTAGGTCAACCCAACAATAACCCATTGTATTTTGGGAACATCGTGAATTCTTGCTGACCTGATGAGACTTTAACATTGTCCCTTTCTCCTACTCTTCAGGTGTCACAGTTTGGGAATTAATGACATTTGGATCAAAACCATATGATGGGATCCCAGCCAGTGAAATTTCGTGTGTATTGGAGAAGGGCGAGCGTTTGCCTCAGCCTCCTATCTGTACAATTGATGTCTATATGATCATGGTCAAATGTGAGTTGAGTTCTTTCTAGTAAGAAGGAAAATGGTTCCAGTTATGGAATGTTTGCAGGCTATGCTGTATTATTGAGATTCACAGGAAAACATGGCGAGGTGATAGATATGAGAAGACTATCATCACTGTCTATGTGCAGATAGCTTATACTTCAGACAAGACCGCAGGTTTTTCTTTGACTACAGCTCAGAGTCCAAATTCTCGTTCTCGTCTTTGTGTTGGTGAGCATGATGTAAATGTAGATTACGCCACTGTAAATCCAAACTAACAGTGGAATTACTCCAGAATTGCAGCAGCATTGCTGTAATCCGAATCTAGCTTCAGGATTCCAATCTTACACACTCAATCATCTGTCCTGCCTTCTCTTCCCATGTTTTCATTTAATTTCATTCAGTAACAAACACACACATAGGAAAAAAATGTCTGAGAATGCAGACAATCGCCATGTTAGTGGCTGCACATGAAGACTTTGAGCCAGAATCCTGAGCTTCATAATTGGTCTGGCCCTCCAATTTGTTATGACTTATACTCAGACACAGACATTACGATAAATGCACAGAAGCTAAATGATGCGGTAAAGCAAACTTCTGTGGCATTGGTTCATTGTTCTCATTACTGAGTGCATTAGAAGACATTCAGAAACAGCCCACTAGGTGGCGATTAAATACTTTCTTAGATAACATTTATAAAGTCCTCCAAGAGGTAAAACTTTTGATTCATATAATTTACTTCTACTAATGCTATGGTTTTAGGAGTCTCTGAATACATACTTCTTACAACTACTAACAATGGTAAATCACTCATCCACAAAGGATTAGCCTATTAAAATAAGAGCTTCACAGATCTAATGGTTGATTTCACAACTAGCTAGCTGATTTCACAACCTCCCCTAGTACATGACAATGCCATGTACTTGCACAAATGCTATGCAGACCAAGCACGGACAGTGATACTGCTCTGGAATTTACAATATTTCTGATTTAGTTCAGTTCTAGAAATATTAAGCAGCAAGTCTGTGGTTGAATACTGAGAGAGCTCGGAAATATAATTTTACTGGTAAAAAAAAAAATCAGCCAAATAAACACACACTTCTAATCTGGAAAGAAATCTAAACAGGAGTTTCTACCAAAGGGCCCAACCCTGATCTCACTGAAGCTAGTGGGAGTTTCACTACCAACTACAATGGTATCAGTCCCAATATTGTATCTAGTTAATGAAGACTATAGAGTAAACCTTAACTGAAATAAATATATAAAAACATCACTTCAGTTTAGAAAGAAAATAATAAAAATGTGCAAAATAATCACCACATCAAATTATAAATAAAAATTTAAACCAGTAAAATAGCAAATATTAAAATATAAATAAAATTAACTTAATGTTATATATTAAACCCTGTTTTCAATCTACTTAGCCCATTTCTGAGCTAGTGTAAATCACTATAGAGTTGTTGAATAATTAGCAATGAAGAATGATGCTGGCCATCTGTACACTAGTTTGGACACAGGAAACATATCTCATCACTGCTTCCAACTGTAAATTTGGTTTTCTTTCAAAGTTATTCTAAAGAATGTTTATGGGTTTGAATGGTATGTGACAATATTTAGACTGAAGCTTAGTTGACCAATGTGTTTTTTAAAATTAATTGCATTACAACAGCAACCATATCTCAGATTTGCAATTTATTCCAGTAGTGAGATATATTCCCTGGGCAGGCTGAAGTATTTGTCAAGGAGAAGCCCTTATTGCATCAGAAGGAATTCCATAAACCACAAGGAGATGTGTATTCATCTCCCTGCTCCAATGAATATTGAAGGTTTTATATAAAAGTGGAACACCTTCAATAGCAGAGACTGAGTACAGCCCACCCTCGAATAGCTGATGGTCTAGTGGTTAGGATGCTCACCAGGAGATGAAGATATGACTTTGTCATTACCCCAGAGAGCAGGGATGGGGGGGAGGGGGAGGGGAGTTTCAAACCTGGGTCTCTTATGTCCCAAGTGCCCTAACCCCCAGGCTAAAAGTTATTAGGGGACTTGTATACAATAATCTGTCTCTGCCATCCATCCCCTAGTCTGAAGCTGGATATGAAAACCATATGTCTGGCTAAAACTAATCATGTCAAATTCATGGATCGTGTCAGGTGAGCTGAAACTTCACCTTTCAGCCAGTACATTTTTTTGTGCCAAATAGTCTTCCCAGCTCCGTTAGCCTATCTGTATGGTACCGTGTATAGGAGATTATTAAAAATCCAGTTACTCATGGGGCCTTGTTCTGGTCTCAGTTACCCAGCTGATTTCCATGAAAAGTGCACCCATATAAACAAGAACAAAATTGAAGCTGTAGAGGCAAATCTAAATACCATCAGCAGGTCATGTATTGGTCAAATATATAGGGCAATGGGAGAAAGGAATCCTCCCCACCCAGAGTAACTCTAAAGCTTAAACAGCCTCCACAAATCTGCCATGTGGGGTGGGAATCTATCCGGGCCTGCATAGTGTTGGATCCCCTGCCTGTCTTCTGGCTCACCCCTCCTTTGCCCACCCTGTGAGCTGCTATGTAGTGAGTTTGTGTGGAACAGAAATCCTGATCTTTTAGGAGGCTATGCGAGCAGGAATTAAAGAAGGGCACCCCCTTCATGTTGATGCTAAGCAAGAATCTTTCTACCACATCTTTTATCGTTTTGGTCTTACAAGAAGAGCACGGGGTATTGTTGTTCTTTGAAAAAGGAGCAAAGACGAAAGTCTAACAAAAAAGCTGATGTGAATAGGTTCCGCATTGTTATGATTTGATGTTCTATGCGCAATACAGTTCTTCAAATTATTTTACCCTCTCTTCAGGTTTTCAGTTCTAAGATGATTTGATTTGTTCTTTGGTTTCTATACTGTCCTTTCAGGCTGGATGATAGATGCAGACAGCCGCCCCAAGTTTCGTGAGCTGATATCGGAATTTTCCAAAATGGCTCGAGACCCTCAGCGCTATCTTGTTATTCAGGTGAATATTCATTAGAGCTTGTTTTACCAGGAAACCAAGATATCAAACAGTCATATTGAGAGCTGGTGGGGGAAATAGCAGCAAATACAGAGGCCCTGACTTTCTGAGTTACTGTGGGGTGCTAGACCCAGACTCTCCCTCACTCCATCCATTCCTCCACGATCTTACACCTGCT